TGGCGCAGAAGAGCAGGATATAAATACCTAATTGAATAATAAGAATAATTGCAATGAGATGGAGTGGCTTGAAAAAGATTCAATACGTGTTGTTTTTTTTTAAATTCTAAGAATATAATTCATATAGCCATCTGCCGAGATGCTCTCCAAGTCATAAATAGCAACAACACTTCCTTACTCACAGTTTCTCCTTAGATCCTGTAACCAGACTTCGCTTTGTGGAAAGCGGAAAGATGGAAAAATGCCTTAAGGCCGTACAGAGGGTGGTTTACTCTGTGGCGTTTAGGCAACTTTCCATTTCCCCATCTTTGTTTTCCACGTCCTACAGTGGATCAGGCAAGTGGGAAATGGCCTAGGCTTAATGATATCTTACTCTGAGTAGATGGAAGAATTACTGTTACCTGAAGTTGAAAAGCAGAGATACCAATAAGTGATTTGCACATTTGTGCTAAAAGTTGTTTGTGAGAGGATCTAATCCTGGTGTCTCTGAAAGCAGCTGTTGCTTTAGATTCCAATTCCTTTTGGCTGTTGCTGCTGAAAATGTTGTTGTTTGTTCAGGATACTCGGGGTTCCTCCAGACAACCTGTTTATTCAACATTCATCCTGATCATAGCTGTCAACTTTTCCCTTTTCTTGCGAGGAATCCTATTCGGAATAAGGGAATTTCCCTTAAAAAAAGGGAAACGTTGACAGCTATGATCCTGATAAGCTTACACAATAGTTGGTCAATGTCTGATCTTCATTGAGCGTTTGTTCTGATTTGTTTATGGGGTAGTTATATGACAAAGAGTATTTATCTTACATTTACCCTTATTTGCATGCAGGGTGTTTACGTGTCATTGAACCACCCTTAGACCTGCAAGAATAGGGTGTTATACAAATTTAATAAATAATAATAATAATAATTCACTCATCCCACACTTTTGAATGCATTTCCCCATCACTTTTCAAACTGCGAAAAGTCCAATGTTGTTTATTTAAAGTGGATTTGTGACACTAGGATGACAGAGGGTTGCAATCCACTTTAATTGTGCAAACCTAAAGTTCCAGTATGTGTTTGTATCCCTCCCACAAAATATCAACAGTTTGGGGGCACCCTAAAACATCCACCAACAAAACATGCACTCCCAGACACTCAGCCTTAAAACAGAACCACTTCACTGTTGCTAGATTTGCAGCAGGCTGTCCTTAAATATCATTTAGAAGGGTGGTTTTAGCATGCATAGACACAAGCATTTTTTGGCTGTGGTTATAACACTGGCCGTGGGTTACATGCCAACCTTCTCCCCCTCTCTGACTTCCTTATCCCATTTGGCATCAATTCCTCACCTGCAGGCGGTTCTAGAACTCTTCATACACAACCTCTGCTCTTTTCTCTCCCGTCTGCAAGGATCTTTCTCTCGCAGACCCTCTCCTTTGCTTGTGCATTAAGCCTGCACACCACACTGTACTCAGTGCAAGAGGCTTTATTCCGTTTCCATGGCAGCTCCAGGCAGGACGAAAGGACTGGAGGAAGGAGGAGGGAAGCAAAACTCGTTGCTCGGAATTCATTTGCTTGCAAAGGGATTGCTACCAGTTGTGACAAACACCCTCACTCACACTTCTTATTCTGTCTTCTGTAACTCACAGTGGAAAAATGTGAGAGAGGGGGGAAGGAAGGAAGGAAGGAAGGAAGGGAGGGAGGGAGGGAGGGAGGGGCTAAGCTAAGACCACTAAACCACTAGAACTCCTCACCCACAAAACTTAGTTCCCTGCCTTCATTTGCTCTTCATAACAACCCTGTGAGGTAGGGAAGGCTGATAATAACAGCCATAAGGTCATCAGGGATGGGTGGAGTGGCTTGAGCAAGAAATCTGTTCCTGCATTACACAACTTTGAAATAACGAGGCTAAAAGATTTTCAGAATGAATCAAGGACTAATTGAAACTTTGAAGAATGTGACGCACATGGAAATTCTAGCCACACAGGAGAAAGGGAAGGGCACGCAAGTTGATACAGGTCAGTTTGAAGATCCTGGTACTGTATAATACCAACATGATAGCCATCACAGCATACTGGCTCTTGTAGACTGCAAGCTCCCTGGAGGCAGAGGCCTGCTACATGGCACCCACTGTGTGTGCACAAACCAGGACTCCCAGCAGACTGGTGTCTTAATCTCTGCAGCACCAGAACTCTGCTTTAACTGCATGTTTGGCAGGCTGAACTCTGCTTCAACTACATGTAATACTGGTCTACCTGAGCATTTTGGTCAAGGTTTTATGTACTGTATTCCTTGATTCAGTTTTGCAAAATCTCTCCTTAAAGTTGCATTATTTTTCACTTGTGCAATACAGGAACATAATCACCCACTCTATCCACATACAGTCTTGTAAGACCTGACTCAGCCGAACAATGTGGTTGGTTGTGATCCCAGAAATCTGTATGCTGTGAAGACTGGTAAGGAGGCTTAATTCCATATTAAGAATAGAAAGTGGCCACCTATTTATTTTTTCCCTTTAAAAATGTATAACCTTCCCTTCCAAAAGGAAGTCTGCAGCTAATTGATCACATAGGAGAGCAAATCGCAGTGGTGCGTAGGCTGAGTCTTCAGTGGGGTTTGAAGAATCGGCTATTTGCCTTATACCTGAAAAGCCTTGTCTAGTAGAGTTTGAACACCCACCACAAATAAAAGTGCATTTTATGATTGCTCTTTGAGGTGCTTGAATAATTTTAACCACTAGGTGGCATTAGGCTCCAACATACAGCCAATGAACCTAGTGACATAGCACATAAATGTTTAAGCTGCAACAATCTTCTGTGGTTTCATACACAGGACCCCTATGTAATCCAAACAAGTATTTGGGGACCTATTCATTCATTCATTCCATACATTTGTATGGTGGTAGTGCTGCTGTTGTGACCCACCTTAGATCAGGCAACCTGGTAGTGTGTCCCCAATCCACCAGTTGAAGGCCTCTGATCGAAGAGAGAATATAAATCTGTTGGGTATCCAATACTGGCATAAGTAGCTACTGGAGCAAATGATCCAGTCCGACATCTAATCCATCATGTCTAGACCCTTTCAGTCATTGCCCATATCAAAGGCAGTGGATGTACATAGTGACAATCCCAACTATTTCTGACAGACTCCTCTGTGGTGCAGTGCAGTGTTTCCCAAACTCCTTGCCTGAAACCTAAGGTGGTATACTGCTTAGATGATAATTTATTACATTTGTATATTGTCCTTTGCCCACATCCTAAAAATACAATATAAAAGCACAAAATACATGATAAAAACAAGAACAAAAAAAACCCACAAACCAATAACCCCGCTCACTCCCTCCCACACACAATTTTTAAAGGGGTATAAGATGTCAATCAGCTCAAGGTCTGGTTGAAGAGGAACATTTTTGCTTGGCATCTAAAAGTGTATAATGAAGGCACCAGTTGAACCTCCCTGGGGAACTTCAGATCTGGGCAGGGAGGGAGAGATGCAGGCCCTTCACACCTCTCCCTAGGCCATGCCTCCTCCTGAGGCCACACCCTTCATTGGCCCTCAGATGTCTGGTTGGAATGTGGCCTTGAACTGTGCTTCTTGCTTGCCTGGCTTACTCCCAGGTGCTGGGGTTAGGATTGCAGCCTCATGGTCTCTGCTCAAATGGGTCATCTTCTGAGGCCCATCTCTAAGTGTTTCAACCTATTTAAGTTAGACTGGTGGCGATGAGAGAAAGGGACTTTTCAGTGGTGGCACCGCATTTATGGAATGTCCTCTCCAGGAAGCCCAGCTGGCACTTTATATCCTTTTAGTACCAAGTACATGGGAACATAGGATTCTACCTTATACCAAGTAGGGCTCTTTGTCCATCTAGCCCAGTAATGTTTACTCTGAGCAGCGGCTCAAGTAGGTGAATCTTTCCTATCACCTGTTATCCTTCACCTGGAGACTGAGGTGGCCTTTTGCGTGTGCTTTACCACTAAGTTATGCCTCCTACCCAATTAACTGAAGATCTCTTACATTGACTCTGGCCTTTTACAATGCTTTACATCTGTTTTAATTCTGCTGGCGTTTCTTCTACTCCCCCCCTCAATGTTATTTAAGTCTTTTAAGTACAGTGGTACCTCAGGTTAAAGACACTTCAAGTTACAGACTCCGCTAAGCCAGAAATAGTACCTCGGGTTAAGAACTTTGCTTCAGGTTGAGAACAGAAATCACACAACGGCGGCACAGCGGCAGCGGGAGGCCCAATAGCTAAAGTGGTGCTTCAGGTTAAGAACGGACCTCCAAAACGAATTAAGTTCTTAACCCGAGGTACCACTGTAAATGCATTTTGCCAGGAAAACAAAAATGTGAACTGCCAAATAATTACTTTGGTGCATGCTCATGTAAACACCAGGCCTCCCACCACAGTGTTAACACCATCAGTGTTATTCATGCTACTAAAGCATGTTCCTGCACAATAGGCCTGTTTTACAACCTTGTTGCAGAACAGCCTCTTCCAATTTTATGGCCTCAGAAGCACTCCCAAAATGCAGCTATGTTGGTTGGTTTCTCCCAGTGAGTCACATAGCTGGTTCTCCTTCCCACCCATTGCTTCACATTCCCACCCATCTCCTCCTCCTCCTCCTCCAACCACCAGGGCATGAGGAATGAGGCCTATTGTGCCATTCCCAGGTATGAAGCATTGGCTGGCTGGTTGCCTGGTTGCCCCAGTGTAGGGCACAGCTTGCTCCTGTCAAAACCAAGGCTCAGCAGCTGAGTCCCAAGGACTGCTGGGAAGAGTGCAAATAGATATGGCTGTTTCCTTGCCACCTTTCTATTTGGTCTTATGAATGCTGACTCAAGTCCAAGTGGGATTTATTCCCGTTATGTGTGCACAGGACTTCAGCCTTCGTTGTTCAGCAGGCTCTGAATATAGGACTTCATTAACCAAAACAATAATTACCAGGGACTACTGCAACCTCTCCCTTATTGTGCAAGTTCCCTCAAGCAACTAGTTCTCAACAAATGGAAGGTGAAATCATTATTCAACCACCTCTATATATTCAATCTGGCAGAAGACATATGAACTAAACTATTTTGGACCAGATTGTGAGGTTTCTAAGGACAAAGCAACTCTATGAGCAAAGACAAGTGGGGGGTTAGGAACATTACATGCACCCACACCCACACACACACAGAGAGAGAGTGCTAGCACAGCATCTGCTAAAAGTGTGCACTATTGTTTCTTATTGCCATGCATTTCAGCTCTCTCTTATTTTTAATAAACTTTTCCTAAACATACTTTAACTGGATATGAAGCAGTCTGCTGCCAACAGGTAGGATTCTGAGATCAGCTTTGAGTTGCTTTGCCATTGAGGAAGCAGGGTCCCTTTTCCAATGGCTTTTACATGCCCCAAAGTGCTCTGCAATCAGGTAAAGCAGGAAGAGAAGGCCAGGTTATGGCAGGCCCAGAAGAGTCTGCTTGCGTCTCAAGAGGCCATAAGAGAGCTGAGACCCAAAGGGATGAAACAGAAGCAAGCCCAAGCCACCTGGGAAATCAGCTCAGCCAACTTGAACCAAAGGCGGCAGTGGGGGGGGAGTCCCACATCTCCCTTCATGTGCTAAGCAAAAGGCACTTACCTGCCTTGATTACAGAAAATGGGTAGAAAGAATGTCTGTGCTTATAGGAGGAGTGAGAAAGCAACTTCAACCTATGCTGGGATTGGAATATGTGGAGAACTGATTAAAGGCTCCAGAGGGAAATGAGGTGGCTTTCATGAGTGGTAGTGAGGATGGGTTTTCACAGTGCAGGATTCCTCCTCTCTTCCATGTGTGGTGCTCACTGAAATTACGTGAGAAGGTAATGAGAGAGGAATTGAGTTCTGAAGAGGATCTGAGGTGCTAGGCTCTCCTAGCCTGAAGAGGGAAGAGATCTGAACAGCCAGAAAGTTCAGCTCTAGCACTCAAGAAGAACTGATAAACTAATGTCACCCTGATTAGAATGTGACAAAAACAGAAACCAGAAGGGATTAAGGTATACATGCATATGTACACAGACACACACAAACGTAAGAAGATTCCTTACAGTCAGTGGTATGTGAAGGCATTGTGCTCTGGCCGTCCAGTGCTAAGGAACACAGCCCTTCTTTGAACAAAGAAGTAAAAGGAATTAGGCTATTTCCCTGTTGAAGAGTTGCCTGTCCCTGATTCCCCACCCCATGATATATAGGAATTTGAAACCGCAGAAAAGAAAGTTTTCTAATAAGCTCAAAAGATGGGCTTTGTAAGCTACAGGCCTGCGAGCTGAACACATTGATGAGGAGAAGGGAACAGAGATAGGAGTTTTGAACAAAACAATCCCGCAAAGCCCCAGGGCATTTCACAAAGATACACCAGTACACAACACATGTACAAAAATAGCTATAATGATGATTTGGTCAGGTGTAGCTATGCTTCCGCCCCCGCCCCAATGGATAATTCCTGTGGTCTTATCCATTCAGAAAACAGGGTTGTTTATTTTTTTAAAAGTCACTTTCTACTTTTGCTCTTTGTTGTGTCTTTTCAATTCCTTTGCTCCCTTATTAGGGTGAAAAGTTCCCATTCCCTCCTTGGTTCCAGCCGAAGATAGAACTCCAGCCAGCTCCCCCATTCAGTCCATGCTTGGACTCAAAGGGGCCAACACATGAGAGGACACCCCTGCCCCCTTTATCATTCTCCTCATCACTGATCCTCCATTTTCTCCCTAATTTCCAAAGGCAACGCCTCATAAAGACTGCTCTCCACCAGCAGGCCACTCCGTTTGAGCACTGGGCACTGGCCAATCTCCAAGGGAAGGGCCTGAAGGGGGTTTCCTCTCAAGTCTAGCGTGGAGAGCGAAGGCAGCCAACTCACACGATCAGAGAGGCGATGCAGTTTGTTGTGTCCCACTTTGAGAACCCGGAGCTGCTTGCAGAAGAAGATTTCATTTGGCAGTGCCTCTAAGGAGTTGTGAGAAATGGCAAAATGCTGAAGGCTCTGCAGGACTCCCATCCCAGGGGGAATGACCTGGATATTGTTATAGGAAAGGTCCAAAGTGTGCAGCCTAGAACACTGGAATAGTTGGGAAGGGAGGACCTCAATGCGGTTATGGCTGAGGTCAAGCTGCTCTAGGGTCTTGAGCTTGCGGAAGTGTTCAGGAATGCTGGAAATGTGGTTGTGCCAAAGTTTGAGGCACACCAGCTTGCGGCAATGCTGGAAGCTGATGATCTCTGCAATGGACTGCAGCTGGTTATCCTTGAGGTCCAACTGCTGCATGTTCACCAGGCTGAAGACAGCATGGGGGATGCGTTCCAGGTTGCAGTTTATCAGCTCCACTTCTTGCACAGAGAAGAGCTTCTTGAGGTTGTTGAGGGTCACTAGCTTAGTCCCATCGTTGTAGATCCTGAGCTTCTGCAGATGGGCGGCAACGTCAGACACGCTAGGTGGCAGTTTTGAGATGTTGCTGTGCAGAGTCAAGGTCTTCAGATTCCTCAGCTCACGCAGGTTCTCCAGAGTTCCTGCCCGGCCCATCTCTGGACTGAAAAGTCCCGAGATGTGCAACTCTTCCAAGCCTCTCAAGTTGTAGGTCCATAGTGGTATATCTTTGATGTCATCAAACTTGACAGTCATTACCTTCAGCTGCTCACGGAAGAACATAAGAGAGGTGAAAGAGAGCTTGACGGGAGAGTTGATCAGCGTGAGCTCCTGGAGCTGGGCCAGCTGAGTCACTGAGGGTGGGAATGTCACATCTTTGAGGAGCTCCAGCTTCAGGGACTGCAGCTCATTCAGCTCAAAGGTGGTGTCAGGCAACCCTGGTAGCATGAAGAGATGGAGCTCCAGCCGGCCTTGGGCATTGGTTTGCAGCTTCTGCCGCAGTTTGTCCACCGTCCACTCATGACTGAGGTTGATCTGCTTGAGTCTGAACTCGCTGACCTCGGAAAGGAAGACAGCAAAGCGCTTGGAGTAGAGGGAATCATACTGGTCAATGAGGTGGAGCATGAAAGCAAAGTCGTTCTTGACATCAGGAATGTCGCTGATGCCTGTCTCGTTGCGTGCAAATTGAAAGGAGTACTCTTTCAGCGGCCGGTGAAACAGCCAGTAGAGGGTGTAGAGACACGTCATGCCGTATATGCCAAGGAAGCAGATGTAGCAGATGGCCAGTTTGGAGAAGAGGTGGGCTTTGGTGTGGTTGCAGCAGAAATGGTCATAGCCCGTCATGTCCTCCATCCTGACAGTGCATGGCACAATGAAGCTGATATTGGAAACCAAGGCTGCATTGTAGGCAATGATGACGAGAAACTTGAAGACTTTGAGAACGGTTTGGCGGATATACATGGTGTAAAGGATGTCTCCTTTTTCAACGTGGAGCCGGAACTTCTTCACCTTTTCAAAGAGAGCCTTGGCCTGCTCCCCTTCCTTTTTGTCCAATAGGCTAACCGGGGAGGACTCTGAAACCTTCTTTTCTGACATCGATCCCCCGGGGGGGTTGAGTTCAGCTGTCTCGCTGGGAGCACTGCTTTTCCTCCTCCGGTACCCCTTCTCTAAGAATGCATTTTCCTGGTTATCCCCAGAGACTTCAGAGATGGCTCGAGTAGTCCAGGGCGAGTCAAAGCACTTGCTCAGGATGGAGATAAAATGCTCAATCTTGGAACTGGTCCCAGGAAACTTGAACCAGAACGAGGTGCACGCCATGAAGATGAGGGTGTGGATGACCACGAGGTATGGGAAGTATTTGGCATACCAATGGAGGGCCGTCTCATAGCACATCTGATTGATGTAGCTGTATTGTTGGAGGTCTAGGTTGTTCTTCAATCCATTCATTCGCTGGTTGGCAGAGGGTCCTATTGGCTCAGAGACATTGGCCCTCTTCTTCGTGAAATCTTCACAAGATGCACCAGTGAAGGTTGTGCCATCAGGCACATGGTTGGGAAGGCAGATGATCTTATCTTGTGTCACCTGTCACATCAGGTTAGGAAAGAGAAGAGAGGAACATGATATAAAACAGGCTGGTGGTAGAACGCAACAGTTTATATCAGGTGGGGATGAACAAGGAAAGCCTTGAAATGGCTGAATGGACTGTACCTCTTCATATGTTTTTTAAAAAGTCCCTGCAGGTAGAAAACTAGCATAGCAAGGAGTGGGCTGGTCTAGAACAGCTCTCTCTGATGTGCTGGTTTCACTTTTAAGGAGTTTTTGTTCTACGTGTTATTAAAAAAGGATCCTCCCCCAACTGTAGTCTGAAATGATAAAGTCTAACATCTAATACTGCTTCATGTGTAGTCAAAATGGACCTAATTTAAATGAACTGATAATCTAGTCTTAATACTAAAGGGACCAAGGGGAAATCTGCCCCTGTATAAATCTGCTAATAACTCGTCTGCATGCATTTTCTATGCTGTGTCAGCCATAGGGCTGCGTTTTCAATACTGATTACAGAATGAGGGGTTATATGAGACATGTCTTATCTTTCCTTCCCAAGGATCTAACCCTCTGTAGGCTTCTTTGGATCTGAGGAGAGTTATGATAAAGCATTGGCAGGAGAAGGTGAAGTCATGGCACAGAGGTCCTTCCCAGGCCTGCTTTGGTATATATCACCTAATACTTCATGCCCTTTCTGTAACATAGGATAGAATCTTAAAAGTTGTGGCTCCCATACCTTCTTCTCTGTACTAAGGCTGCATGAATACAGTAAACTCAGTACTCAATCTCTCATCTCTGCTATGTAGGAGAGAAGTCGGTCTTCAACGTTTGGAGAACAGAGCCTCCCTGCCTAAGTTACTGAGGCTGCACAGTGCTAGGCTGCCACCCCTTACAAGTGGTGGGCTGCAGAGAATCCAACCCCCCAGGCTGTAAAAGTTGACCATTTCTGTGCTGTGGTCATTTCCACCCTTGTCCAGACTGCCCCCAACCATTTAGAGCCTCTTCTCCCATGGGCAGTGGAACATCACCCCAAGATTCCAATGATTCCAAGATTCCAATTCTCCTTCCTTGGAGGTTTTCAAGCAGACGTTGGATGGCCATCTTTCACGGATGCTCTAGCTGCGACGCCTGCATTGCGAGGGTCCTTTCCAACTCTACAATCCTCTGATTCTATGACACCATGGCAGCATCTAGGCACTGCGTGGGCTCCCCCCATACTCACTCACCTGCAAAGTGCAGCCAAAAACTCCTATCATCAGCATGGCTATGGTGATGTACTCGGCCAACACATCCCACCATGGCTTGAGAACCTTGAAAGCAGGCTGCTGGTCTGTGAACTGCTTGAATTCGGCCACCGGGATCATACTGCCTGCCAAAAGACAGTGAAGGATTAGAACAGTCAGCTCTCACTTTTAGCAATGCTCATGGGCTGGCTGCAGGGCCTATAATCTCTCCCTGTTCTTGCACAACCTAGGTGTCCTTTGTCCAACACACATACACCACTGGGACAATACCATGTACATGAAGAGGGAGCTGCCTTCTAGATTGGTGCCTGCCCTAAAACACTTTAATAGCCAGTGTTTACACCGGACAGAAAACATAGCCAAATTCTGGCATCTACTGCAGTAGCATCTCTAGGCCCATAAGGACCCCTTGCAGTGCTTTGACATGCTACTTCCTCTTTCATGGGCCAGCATCCACATCTTGCAGAGAGGCAGCTTATCTCAAAGATCAAGAAAACCCATTGTATCTATATGGCTGCCACACCCAGCACCGAAGCAGGGAAAGGCAGGGCTATCTGGTCAGCAACATTGCTGCAGAGGGGACTCACCCAAGGATTCAAGAAACTGCCATTCCTCGCTTGTGTTTGCTAACATATTTACGGTAAATACACAGGAAAAATAGAAAAATACAGATAGCAACGCTGGCAAGCTAACAGCCCCCCAAAGTGATGATGCTTATAGGTTTTATTGTGGTAGTTTGAAGTACAAGCCTATGTGGAAGCAAATTTTTATTTTTAGGACAGGTATTTTTTTGTAGGGTCTGGTATTGAGAGTTGAACAAGAGAGGTATATTCATAGTTCGGACCCTGGTCTTGGGGATGGAAGGACGAGACTCAGGGCCACATGAATCTGCCTGGTATATGATGCCACTGGGAATATAATGCCCAATAGTGTCACACTGGAATAACGGGATCAGTGTTGTCTATTCAGATGATCCCACTATGCTACCAATTATACTGCCTTCTATGCAAGATTCTCAGAGATGTAAATGTGCAGCCATGCCTTCTTCATCGAAGAGGCCAAGACCTACTCACTCACCCAAATAGAGTACTCATGGTGAAGATGGATCTGGCTTCCAACACCACCAGGAGAAAATCTAATCTTTGAATAGACTGGTGTAGGTATGGCAATCTCCTTGCTATAGCTTATGCAAAATTCCTTCGTCTCCTCTCTTTTGGTTTAGGATGGGATGGCAGAATCAGGAGTTACATGTGTATCTGTCCTCTGGATGACACCTTCTGCAGAAACCCTAAAAGAGCAACCTTCACAGCTACATTCCTGCCCAGCACCTAGACTCTGGCACCATAGAACAGAGCGGTCTCTGAGATTCTGGTTGCTATAGTAGTGCTCTCACTACACTGGCCTGGCCAAAGATGTTGGAGGAGCAGCATGGAATGTGCCAAGGAGAACCAAGGCGGTGGGAATGTTAATCCTGCCTCTAAAGTCTAGTGTTGCCTCAGCCCTACCAAAATCCAGAAGGAAGATACTCTTTAGCAGTATGATCAGAGGGTGCGATCTGTTTTCATCTCCCTTTCTGTTTATCTAATGACCCCCAACACTGACTTCTCTTCTCTTGGTAGGCATGTAGGATCTGCCTCTGATGGTCCTTGATTGCTCTGTGCTAGTCATTCTATCGAAGAGGAACATAAACGGAAACTGCATGGGCAAAATTCAGAACAGCAGAGGGCAGCATGGCAGCAGACTGAGCCTCCATGGAATCTGGGGGTCCCTGAATGGCTTCATCAGTTTCACCACACATAAACTGTGTGTAGATGGCTGTGGCTTCTCAGTACAATTGCAGGTTCCCAACAATGTGTAAACAGTGAAATGTGTAAATATGAAAGGTCAGCATGAAGTTTAGGTGTTGGTTAACTGGGGGCAGGGGAACCATGCAGGGAAAACATACTGTGCTTAGTACAGTACGGAGATTTTCTATATTATTTTTTTCATAACAATAGTAATTAATTGTGTTGCGAATCACCCTTCCTCCAACAGAGCCCAGAGTGATGCACAACAAAGGATAAACAACAGAATTACATCAATGATGAAAACAAATACAGAGCTAAAAGCAGCCAACTGATGTTTCTACCTCCATCTCCAATTCTGAAACATTGCACTACTGTACATTGATACATATGCCTCAGATGTTTGCTTTTATCACCATCTCATCTTCATCAAGCAGGATTCATCCAACTTGACTGATGAAGTTATAGTTCCAAAGTAAATAACACTTTAGAAAAAGTGTGAAAAATACGCTTCTCTCTAGACTCACCCCATGCCAACATTTCCTTAATCTAATTCAGACTCCCAAAACTATGTGGTTTAAGAGATGTCAAATTGGACCAGGATAGATTGACCACTGTCATCCATGTACTGGTAACCCTCTCCACCACCACCACCACCACCCGGATTGCTGCAATACAGTCTCTGTAGGGCTCGACTGTTCACTGGGACTAAGACTATCGCCATCATGTTATGCTACTGCAGAAAGAATTGCACTGGCTGCTGATTAGTTACCAAGCTAAATTCAAACTGTTGGTTTGGGTATACAGGTTGAGACTAGGATACCTAAATGATACTCTCACCTCTTGTATACCCAGCTGGTCATTGCACTCTGAAAGTGATGGGCTGTTCCATATGATACAGGAATTTGGCTTTTAGTATGGAGGTACCTGCTCTTTGGAATTCCCTCCCATTTACACATCAGGCAGGCACTGTCTCTATGGTATTTGCAGCGTCCATTGCAGACCTTCCTTTTATTAACAAGCCTTTTAAGTGGAGATCTTTTGTATGAGATTTGAAATCATTTTTCTTGTTGATTTTTTTTTTTACTGTGAAATCACTTATCAAGAGATTTTATAGGAAACAATAAATGGAAATGAATAAATAAATGTGGTAGACTCGCTTTGACTCTTCAGAGTCAGCCAAATGGTTTAACTGAGACAGGCCTAGCAGCAACTGGCAAGAGAGTCCTCCAGATTGAAGTCAATTTTGATGGTGGAAAGGCACTTCCACAAAGAGACTATTGAAAGCGAAAAAAGGTGTTGGTTTCTATTATCCTTCCCAGCCTTCCAAGAGTTGTAGAACTTGTTTTCTCACCGCTACTAACCTGTTACAAAAGATCATTGGGTGCAATTTACTAAGACGCTCCTCAAGTGCAAGTCCAATGATTAACAAGAGGGGTGTTGTTATTCATTGCACCAGGGGAGACACCCAAATCACCCCAAGGAAGGGCAACCAGGATGACCAAGTGGCTTGGAGCAACTTCCACATGAAAAAAGCTTACAAGATTTGAGGCTTTCTAGTTTCAAAAAAGGTCAAGTAAGCAGGAGACGTGCTGGATAGAATTAGGTATGGAGTCGAGAAAGTAGAAAGAAGTTATTCCTCCCTCTCACATATAATAGAACCCAGAGACATTCAATGAAGCTGAATGTCAGAAGATTCAAAACAAAGGAAAGCCCTTCTTCACACAGTGCGTAGCTAAACTGTAGAATTTGCTCCCACAAGATTGAGGGTTGGCCACCAACTTGGACAGGCAAATTTGTGGATGTTCTGCCTCCTCTGTTGGAGTCAGCATGCCTCTGCATACTTGTTTGTGGGAAACACAGGCAGGGAAGTTCTCTTGCAGGATTCCCATGGGCATCTGGTTGGCCAATGTGATGCTGGGCAAGATGAATCTTTGGCCAGAACCAATATCCCTCCATGGTAGATCATTGGTGCTGTTCCCCAACATCAATTTGTCTCCTGTTGCTAAGAGCTGGCTCATGCCCTTTCTTAGCTTCTTCCATAAGAACATGTCTGAACAGCTGAAACAGACACTGTCTGCATAAGGTTCTGGTTTCTATGAGCACCAAACCAGCCGGGTAATTATCTCTGAAGGTTACCATTCAGAGGAAGCAGCCAAGGGAAAAAGAAGGGGGAGGGGGTGAACAGAGGGCAAATCCAGCAATTTGAATAATCAAGCTTTTAATGGGACTTGTAAAATGTTCTGAAAGTAATGGAACTTATATAAAAGTTAATGTTATGAGTAGAAATTTTCCATAGAAAGATCTCTTGGAACAGAAATAGCTCCAGGGCATCCTAGCTACCAGCTCTTCTGCTCCTGTCTCCGCCCAGTTTAAAGAAAAGAAGTTTTTTTAAAACAACAACAATATGCTTTGGTTCCCAAACTACCTGCCTTCCATTCTAATCTTAGATGGCGTATACCTTCCAAAAAAGAAAGAAAGAGTGGAGCACCCAGGAATTCTGCCTTCCAAATCATTTCCCACACCTGCTAATCCCTCTGCCTCCTCCTGCTCCTTTCACACGCCACCTTTCATCCTCTCTCCACTAAAATACATCCCATTATTTATTTCATTTCACCTTTTTTTAAAAAGCCCCTTGGCGTAAAGCGGGGGTGGGAAACCTCATGCCTGCAGGCCAAATGCAACCCTTTCTATATGGCCCTTGGGACTCTATCCAGACCACACTTCTCACTATCCCTTCTTCACCGGAACGGCCTCTCCCCATATTAAACCATCCCGGACTCTGTGTTCATCATCTGAGGCCCTTCTTCGTACACCTCATCCACATGAGGTCCAGAAGATGGTAGCACAAGAGCGGGCCTTTTCTGCAGTGGCTCCCCATTTGTGGAATACTCTCCCCAGGGAGGATCGCCTGGGCCTTTATTACATATTTTTAGGCGCCAGGAGAAAACAATACTCTTCAGCCAGGCCTTTGGCTGATTAATATCCTATAGCCTTTCAAATGTATCTGTGGGAAGAGGGTTGTTTTGGTTTAATTTTTTTTACTATGTATTATCTTGTATTTTATTACCACTCTGAGATCTTTTGATGAAGGGAGGTATACAAATTGAATAAAGAAACAAATAAAACACACTTTGAGGGGTTTTGCCCAGCTGGAATGTCTCCTTGAACTCTGATAATGCCTCCTGCCTGTCTGGATAAAAGGAAGGACTGGAGGGAGGGAGGAAGGAAGGGTCTGCAGGTGCCTAGAGAGCGAGAGTAAATCAAGATGCGTTATAATTAGGGAGATTCTGTGCCAGACTGACTCTCCTTATCCCCCTACTTCCAGTCCAGACTAAATACTTTCTAAATTACAGTCACTCCAGCGGCTGTGTGTCTACGTATTATCATCGTCAAAGTGGAAACAAAACAGGAGGTATATCAAGCTGTGGTTTCATTGTCTCAAGCTGCAGACATGCCATACATTTAAAGCACACCCACCCAGAGAATCCTAGGAACTGTATAATAGTTTGCTAAGGGTGCTAGGAAATGTAGCTCTGTGTAAGCTACATTTCCCATGGTTCTTTTTTGTAGGGGTGCTTTAAATGTGCAGTGTGTAAATGTGTTTGCAGCCTTTGAATACACAACTGTGTGTGAATAAGCAGCTCCCAAACTCTGTCAAATAAGCTGAAGAGTCTCCCAGAAATAGGCATTCAGGGAGCAGGAACTGCTAGCCAACAACTTCCCCCTGCAATTATTTATCTTTCCTATCAACTAGTTTTCCTTGCTGTTCTCCCCATACATTCCTTGGAAAAACCAGCCTGTAAGTAGAGACAAAGCAATGAGTACCTGCTTTAGAACGCTTGAAAGCCCAAGACTATTTTTCACCCAAGGAGCACAACATTTAGTCGGAGTTGGTGGTACCTAGTCCTCCCCTTACTCCCCTCACCCCTGCAGTTTGAGAGACACAGAGAGAGCACTCCTGTATTTAAAGATATTGGAAAACTCTAGCAGTTACTTTAAGCCGTGGTAGTTCTAAAAGTTCCCCACCACAGGAAGCCCATTTGCAATGGTTACATTTGGGTAGAGATGCACCATAGCATATTTAAAGAACATGGCTTCCCCTGAATAATCCTAGACTGTTGTTTACTTCTTAACAAGCTACAGTTCCCAAGAAGCCGTGTGCTTTAAAAGTATGGTGGGGCCAAAACAGTGGATACAATTAAAGAAGCATAGAATTGTCATCTAGTTCAACACAACCAGATCACACTAAAAGTCCATCTGGTCCAGCGTCCTGTTCTCACAGCCAACCAGATGCCCATGGGAAGCCCACCAACAGGAGCTGGTCTCAATACCCCCCCACCCACCCTTGCTCAATCCCTTGCCTTCAGCGATGGCTACCACCACCCACCCAGGCTCACCAAGCCCATTTCCAGCGCCAGGGCTCATCCCTGTGGGCTGTGATGCAATATTAAGGAAGGAAGGCCCCTTTGTGCATGCGCAGGGTGCCATTCCAGCCGGACCAAATGGAGTTGGGGGGGGGGAGCTTCCTAAACTCGGGAGCTACAAAATAAGCTAGTTGAGGAGATCTCTTCACCCAACGTTCCTTCATTTTCGAGTAGATCCTTCTAGCGCCCCCCTCCGCACCTTCCCACTCCATCGGTCAAAGGGGAGACCCCACCGCCTGCTAATCTTGCCCCCATAGTTTACCCGAGTGCAAAACGCGCCTTCACAGGGTAGCCATGCACAGCATCTTCAGGCACCGTCGGTGCGCATGCCAGGCTCCCATTGCTGTCGGGGGTCTAGGCTCGGGCATCACCTCGTCGGGACCTCATCCACACTCTAGGAACGGGCCGGGCCGAGTTAAGGCTACATGCTCGCTTTCTTGCCGCCAAGGGGGGGGGGCAATACCTCTAGCGGCAAAGTCAGGGTGGGCCGCCCGCCGTAAGCGCGCTGCCTAGGAAGTTCCACGAGGAGCCATGTGGGGATCCTTCCAGGTAAACACGCCGCCTCTGGCCGGATCTATAGCCCCCTCCACGGCCACACTTTCGAGGAAGTGAATGGGACACGCTTCGGTCCCTTTATGGGTCGATCCCGCCTCTCCCTAAAACCGACGTCCCGGCCTGCGTAAAGACGCGCACACTCACCGACGGTTCCCCGCAGCCGCTTGCCTGGAGTTTGTAGGCTCTCGCTGGCTGGCCCGGCCGCCCGGAAGCACCTGAGCCGGCTTCCTTGTGGCCACCTGCGCTAGGAGGCAGCGGCCCTTGCTGGCTTCTCCGGCGCCGGCAGCGGTGTCGGCCGGTACAAGTGGCGCCCTCCTCCAGTGCTGCCGGGCCCGTCCCTCCCCAGGCGCCCGGCGCTCCCGCCTCCCTGCCCATTCCCTCGAGCTGGCTTGGGGAAGGGAGGGAACCTCGCGCAGGGCGCCGCCGCCGCCCAGCCAAGCACCGAGCGAGAGGAATCCGCCCCGACGGCCCACGCGAAGCGAGGAAGAGCAGCCCGAGACGGGCCCAGGCCGGGAACCACCCACTGGAGAGTTGCCATTTCCAACTCCTCTCACGCTGCCTTGGAACCTCCCTCAAGGATCGCTGGACGTCTGAAGCAGATGGGGGGGGCTGTGTTGGGACTGATGGATTCTGGTGACCCCAAGTGGTGGCCGACATTCATGTGGATGTGGCAAAATGCAACAAAAGGGTTGGCCTTTTACTCCTTCCCCAGTTTGGAGCTATATCAGGAGGAAGTGAGATGGCATCTCAGCAAGATCCAAAGTGCATCAGCCTGGTCACCACTTGTGGTGGTGGCTTTGCCCTTCTCTGTTTATCTCAAACCACTGTAAGACTGCAATCCTAACCATACACACACCCCTCACAACCTTACTGAGATTAAGTCACATTAAACATAGCAGGACTTCTTTTTGGAGTGAACACAGGGCTCGCCCACCCATGAGGCAAGGATCCACAGGCAGCAGACCTGGCCTCCAAAAAATGCATTGCCCGCTGCTGCTGCCACAGTGGCATCAACCGCTGTGGTGCACTCCTTGGAGGATAGAACTGCAGACTCCCCAACAATAGCACACCGATAGTGGCCTTTTAGCAAACAGGAGGTGCTGTTCCTGATGTAGATCTTTATTCTCATCATAGAGTTGACAGGGACCCTGAGGAACATGTAGTCCACCCCCTGCAATGCAGGAATATGCAGCTGTTTCTTACGGGGATTAAACCTGTAACCTTGGTGTTACCAGCACCATGCTCTAGTCAGCTGAGCTATCCTTGTCAATGTCCACTTCTTGTTCCCTTGGGGGAGGAGGCATGCCATTTTGTGGTTTGCCTCAGGTGCCAAAATGTTTTGGGCTGCCCTGAGTGAACACATCTGGGATTGCTGTGCTGGAGTAGACACACAGGAGTGTAAGAGCACCTGTGTCGCTCAGCCTCTCGTGGCTGGATGACCAGGCCCCTGAAAGTGTGACCAGGAATGCTAGCATTCGATTGACATTGGAGAAAGACTGAGTTGAGAAATAAGACCAAGGGTACATATTGATATAGGAATGTATTAGATAAAATGTAAAGAAATATACAATAATGAGTACATTCATTTGTAAAAAAGTTATATAAAACGGGATAGACAGGAAGTCCAAAGTGTTGGTACATATATGATTTTGGAATGGTTTTTTTGTCCTTGTTGCTTTTCTTTAGGTATATAAACTTTGTATACATGTTGAAAATTAAATTATAATAAGCCTTGTTATGTAATATGATAATGTTTACCAATGTGACATAAGAACATTAATAAATAAATAAAACTCAAAAAAAGAAAGTGTGACCAGGAGCACCGAGCAAGTTAACCATTTCCACTAAAGAGTACTGCAGCTGTGCTGATGCAGTGGCAGCTGCCAGTGTTGTCTGATCTGCAGTGCCTGAGTCATGAACAAAGCTCATCATCCTATGCTGCCCTCACCAAGTGATGAACTAAACCGAAATCACTCAGAGGTGATGAAAATGTGTTGTCATTGTTGGAGTTTATTTCTGTTCTGCCTTTCGGCCAAAAAAGCATGTGCGCCCCCCCCCCCAGCCCAGGGTTCACACACACACATACAAAACACAAGTTTTGTACCACCTCTGTGGTAGTTGAAGGACTTTCCATGTGATTGTGTGATGAATGTGGCTTCACAGCAGATGCATACAATCCTTTTTCTCTGCTGTGATCCCTTTCTCCCTGTCATGAGGTGAAGCTTTGGAGGAGTCGCCTTGCACTAGAGATCCATGTAGGTATTGCTGTTGCAAAAAAACTAGATGCTGCATTCTTTGCAAATCTCCACAATCAGGGCAGAACCAAACTAGTGCTGGCCCACAGCTGTGATGGAAGACCTTGGATGTTGAGAGTTCTCTTTCTGGTGGGACAAATGATTGTACGAATCTAGCCTTCAGTTTCCCAGCTGGGACATGTGCTGTTTCCATGCAGAGCTCGTCAAAAAGGCCCCAGTGATCACACCATTTTAAGTCTTGTCACCATTTAAAACCAGGCCCTTGGTGTCTGCCTGTGCATCTTAGCCCCAGGCTGGAGATGCTTTTACACACCTGTGATGATATGGATCTCGGTCTCATATCTCTGCAGGTCTTTTTGTGCTTGGACAAAAAGCCTTCTCATTCAGTGCCAGCAGCATTTCCCTCCCCTGGAGCAAGGTGCTGTCCCTTAGCATACAAAGGCACCAGCCATTGAGTCATTCTGGACACAGTCTGTGGCAGGGGCTACCCAGAGATCATTCGGTGCTGCTGAAAAATGCAGCTGCCTCTGGGGTCAGGCTCCTCCGCTTCAGCCAATGTCCAAGTGGGAGGCAAGGAAAAATAATCCCCTCTCCAGCCCTTACGTAAAATGTTTGTGGCAAGCTTGTAGACAAACCCTGTGCTAAATTCTGCCCTTTGGTGAGTGGAGGAAAGCAGCCTATAAAAGGCGGTTATTATGTTCTCAAGAAAGCTGATCGTTAGGACTCTGAATGGGCTCAAAGCCTTTCATTGTCTGGGGGGAAATTCAACCGACCCTGATCTACCTCTAAACAGACCTACTCAGGTTGTCTGTGGTGTTTTGCAGCTCTGGTTGGAATAGACCATTTCTTCTTGACAGCAATATGTGTGTGGGCTGGGGAGCTGGGCCCTGTGTTGTTGCCAATTTTCCCCTCGCAAGAGTCTAAACAGTGCAGCTGTGTATGAAGGCCTGGATCCCAGAGCCCGGAAGCAACTGGCAGGTAAATGAAAGGAAGCCAGCCGGGCACCAAAGCTCCAGAACATTGAGAAATGTGGCAGCTCGTTCCTGCTTCCTCGCTCCTTCTGTTTGGCTTTGGAATTACCTTGCCTCTTGTTTGATGCTGATCATTTTCCCAAGGTAGAAGTTTAGCACTGGGTAATTTTTCCTGCTAAGTCTGAGAGTTCCTACGGGTCTGGCATAAATCCACCACCCTGGATGGACCAGTGGCCAGATTTGGTATAAGCAGGGGCATATCTACTATGAAACTTAATGAAGTTTAAGCTTCAGGGGCCCCCTAATCCTGGAGGGGCCCCATAAGCGACCTTATTTGTGCATGTATATAACATTTCCCTATTTTTAATCCCCCCCACATAACTCAAAAACTACAAGGCATAGGAAACATTTATTCACACCTGCGACTTTGACATGTGAGATAAACCAGAACAGCAATTTTAATCAAAATCTGAGATGTAGTAGTTAAATAAATAACTAGTGATCTGTTGTGGAGCAATACCATTGAAGAAGATAACAGTGGTTACCCAGACTTTAATACTGGTTGTGAAGGAGCACCCAAAATGAAGGTCTGCCACATTTCCAGATTTCTACGTACCTATCTAATTATTACACCCTTTATTTAGCTCTATGAGGACTAGAAACTTACTTTATTTTGAGGGGAAGGATCATAGCTCAGCAGCAGAGCCCATGCTAGCCATGCCCCTGACTGAAACCCTTGAGAGCTGCTGCCAGTCAGTGTGGACAGTACTAAATTAAATAGATCAGTCTGACTTGGAATAAAGCAACTTCTTACATTCTTACCAATTTGGGACATGCAGCTAGACCTTATGCAGGTTTCGTAATAAGGGAGTCCTATTGGCAGAACAAGCCTGTATGCATGTTTATTCGGAAGGAAGTCTCATTCAGTTCCATGGGATTTGAGTAGGTAAATGTGCATAGGATTGCAACCTGAGTTCAATAGTAAGTGGGTGGAGGAGGGGAGCCTGGCAGTGCAACCCTGTGCGTGTGTTCGGTGATGTTTATTCTTTAGTAAGTGAGTACATAAGATTGGGGCCTCGCTTTATTGCAGCGTGGAATTAGCATTTATTTAACAAGGAGATTAACAAGATACATTGCATCAGCGTTCCCCAACCTTCTCCAGGAAAAATCTGAGTGTGTTGTAGCTGCAGCAAGTGCCTAAGCACTTTGTTGCCTGAAGCAGAGCCCAGATGCCCACCCCCCTGGCTAGGGCTAAGACTTCACAAATTTTGCATCGTCCAGGCATCCATTCCCATTTTTGTCCATTCCTGCCTGGCTACCTCCTTTATGGGGCTGCCCAAAGCAAGGGCATCTCTGCTTGGTGCTTGTATTCCACATACAGTGGTACCTCGGGCTACAGATGCTTCAGGTTACAGACTCGGCAAACCCAGAAATAGTACCTCGGGTTAAGAACTTTGCTTCAGGATGAGAACAGAAATCGCGCAGCAGTGGTGCGGCGGCAGCAGGAGGCCCCATTAGCTAACGTGGTGCCTCAGGTTAAGAACAGTTTCAGGTTAAGAACGGACCTCTAGCACAAATTAAGTTCTTAACCCGAGGGACCACTGTATTGGAGTGGGGTGGAAACTAAAGGCTGGAGGTTATAAGCATCGCCCAGAAACCATTACATATCACACCATTAGCGACAGCAGCCATCAAAGCAACATGCCAATATGCCAAGAACAATTCTGATGGAAAAGGATGGGTCACATTGGGCAGGCATACGTTGACCCAATACTGAGCCCTTGCCAGAAGTACCGTTTTTTCTGAATGACAAGCACTTGCCAAGAACTATCTATATGTCCATCACCAGAAATTAATTTCACAAAGGGGTGGGGAACCCTGTTAAGCCCAAGGGCTGCATTCCTGCCTGGGCAACCTTCCAGGGACCACATGCCAGCGGTGGGTGGGGCCAGGGGCAAAATGGGGCAGAGCCACCAATGTAAAATTTCCCTCTGTACAGCAGGCTAGTTTCTACTCACAATCCTATGCCTTTCTTTGTCCTCCACCCAGGCAAGCAAGAGGCATTATCAGAGTTCAATGACATATCCTAGGCTGGCAAAAGCACTTGAAGTGAGAAGCAGGACAGCTGGGG